GCCTCTTTTAAACTCTGCCACCCAATATTTTATTGTTGTAAACAAGGGAGCAGACTCCCCCAGAGTAGAATCTAGCTCAGTTTTGATATTGGTTGGACTGAGACCTTTCAAATGAAAATATTGTATCACATAACGATGACCAATTTTCTCCATGTTTACAAATGTACTAAGAGCATTCACTATTGATGGCTGCCAAACTAATACTAAACAACGTAGCGTTTTGAAACTTCAAACTTCAGCTTTATAAGGTTGATGCTTTCGGCCATAGTGATTTTTTTCAAACAACAACCGCCATCTATACGTCAGGTCGGGTACTTCTGGGACTACCCTCGTATGTACGCAAGCACACGCACACAAATTAACAAATTTATTAAACAATTAAATAAGCTAATCTATTTGTGCATCTACAATACAGCCAACATTTTTAAAGTTAAATAATGATGTTGTAAACTAACAGAAAGCATGAAAATGAAAAATTTTTCATACATAGTTATGTAAAATTATATAAAATTATATATAATTTTACATTATTATAGAGGGTGTATCGTAACATGTGGGATCCACTTCAGAGATGGATAAGGGGCACAGAAACAATAAAAAAAGTTCACATGAACACGTATCCTATTTGACCTTGTCTCGAAGTTATAGCCATTTTTGTATTTCAATAACCCGCAACTGCTTACTGTCATAGAAGGTGCTCGAAATGGCTACCCCCGGTCTGTATGCAAGCTTGCAGTCGTCATATCAGAGAATTTCGCAATCTTTCAAAAATTCCAAGTGTATATCGAATCTGTTGGCAAGCTGTTGTATACGTTCCTGGTTAAATTTTTGGAAGATTGCGAAATTCTCTGATACGACGACTGTAAACTTGCATACAGACCGGGGGTAGCCATTTCAAGCACTTTCTATGATAATAACCCTTATAGAAATATCATACTAAAAATCATTGATAATTACTTATTTTCAGTATTAAAAATACTAGATAATAAGTAATTATCAATGATTCTTAGTATGATATTTCTATAAGGGAAATTCCTAGAGAATTCACTTTAAAGAATAGATATAGAATTAGAAAAATAAATACCAGAAGAATTCTTGAAGAATCAACCACAACAAGTTT